AAAGATGTGAGTAAACACTTCATCTGAACATGGAATTTACGGATGCAATTTCTGCTGGAACAGCTGGCTCGCCAGGTGTACGTGGAGTACATATATTATGGAATGTATTTTTTCAAATACGAGTATTCATTTTCCTCACACAGGATTTACTTATCACCTTCCTTAAGATGAGATATCTCTCAAGAATAGTTACACTTCTGAAAGCTTCCTTCCTCACTCAACAACTCCCTCTCCCACTTGACCCAACAGCCCCTTTTTTTTAGGTTTTGTTCCCTCTTCCTCAAGGTAGAGCTTCGCTTTTCCCCAGCAAGCATCAATCTCCACGCTTTTGGGACAATTACAAAGCCCTGCCCTAAAGTAGTTTCCAGCGAATCAGAAACATGCACACCTCAAAAATAAATCCGTTTTATACTCCACACTTCTAATGAGCCCCCAGAGGATGCCTGGAGGGGGGCCAGGGGTGGACGGCTCGCTCCTCTACACCACGCGGTTGCATTGCCTGGCGGGGAATACAGCTACCGGAGATTTTAGCATCACTGCAGTAAATCTGGAGCCAGTCCAATGCTGCTTCTCTGCATTGGCACTGATTTATCCAACACCCATGCCCAGCCCAGGCTCCCGATTCATTTTTTCGCCCAGTTCATTCAAATTCACCCTTCTCTCTGGTTTCCCAGTCCCCCGCTGCAGTGCTGGGAAAGCCCCAGGACACGAGTCCATGCCGTGGCCTGGTACCATCTGCCCTCCCTGGCTGTTACCCAGCATTTCTCTGACCTCCTGCTGCAAGCATATATATCCCATTTTCATATTTCTCCATCGTGCTTTTTTGATAAATATTAAGAACAGGTAAAAAAGGAAAATCTGAACTAAAACAGAATCAGGGAAGAAAGCAAACTCCTTTTAAAGAGTATAACGGCATTATAAGAGGAAGTTTAAGAGAAGAGCGTATTGATCCTGCAGCCTCTTCTGCATTCATTCCTGCATGAAATATACTCCTTCTAAACAATATTTGCGTTCTTTAGATAATAACATATCCATAGATGATAACATATCTCTCATCTTAGAGAAACAGCAATTTTCTGTCTACATGTAACGTATACGCATAAATGCTTGGGAAATAATGACTGGACTGAAAAATAACAATTTGGTATTGTTCTTTCAAACTGCCTTTGTGGGTTTTTTTGGTCCAGATAGGACATCAAGGATATCAAAATGTCGCTGCAGAGCCACTAGAAACCGTGTGATACAGCAGCCTTCAAGAGCCACGCTGGGAAGCGCAGGGCACACAAGGCGACCTCGGTGAGCCATGACAGTGTCGAGACGGGAAATTATCTTGGGGTATAATTTCTAAGCTGACCTAGTGAAATACTCCTGGGGTTTTCACGAAACCCCAGTTGCTTTCTAAACCCAGTGTGACCTACTGGGAAGAGCTTCTGTGGGGTAGCAAAGATGCTTGCAAAAGGCCTTTTCTGTGCTTCCAAAAACGTAATGAAATGCAAAGGCAAGCTGTGAGAAGTGGATGTTGGTTAGGAGAGCGCTCTAATTGGCAATGAGCTAGAATTTAAGGGGGTTTTATCCTAGGGTTAATAACTTCTTATTAGCTAAACAATGTTGGCAAGATAAAGCCATTTTGATGGAATGCATGTTTTCCCTCTCTGACATATTTGTATTACAAATTGACCTGTCCACATTGATGATAATATAGATCTAGAAGATTACACTGATTTTTTTTCTTCAGCTAGGCTTTCACATCTGCCAACCTGCTACTTTCCCATTAG